ATATATATATATATATATATATATAAATGTATATATAATTTTATTAGACAATTATATATTGTATTGCATTGAACATCTCAAAACATTCGCACATATAAAAGTCTAACAATGTACACAGTACGCTAGTATTCTGTTCACGATGAAGCCTAAATCTGAGCTGTTATATTAGATGTTTCCACATATTACGTGCATATCTTAGCTATGCAGGTTTTCCAGTGCTTTTTGCTAGTTTTCACTGAATTTCTCCTCTTTTCTGGGGTCAGTTCATGCGGGAGATGGCAGGTGCGTGGCAGATGACCGTCGAGCTGAAGATGGGGCTGTTCTCCGACACCCAGGTGGAGGCGGATCCCCTGGCGGCCTCAGAGGAAAGCCAGCCCGTCCCCTGCCCACCCGACGTCACGCCCCACTACACCTGGATTGAGGTTACTTCCTATTACCCTGTTTATCCGTCCAAGCTTATGGGCATTTTCATAGCTGTGGATTTACCCGTACAAAAGCTCCTTATGATACACACCTCAAATAACTTGAAGACTCCTTGTGAGGAAATCCTCTGTTTTGATGAGGGTTGTTCTTGTGTAATTGCATCAATAAACCTTTTACTTCACGTTGCTACAGAATTGGTCTGAGCAAACAATTTGGTTTAATTTGTTGATGCTTTTTTTTTTTTGGTTTACCAAAATGGCAAACATTTTATTTATTCCATCAAGTCTTTTTTTCTCCATTTGTATAGTTTCTAGTCCAGCGTTTTGAGATCGCCAAGTACAGCAGTGCTGATCAGGTGGAGATTTTCGGCACTCTTCTGCAAAGGTCTCTATCTCTCAATGTTGGCGGCCCAAAAAGCAGCCTGAACCGCCATGTGGCGGCCATTGGACCACGCTTCAGGTTAGTAAGAAGACTGCACTGAAAAAAAATTATTCTATTGAAGTTTTAAATAAAGATTATTGGAGTAAGTTTTACAAAAAATACTATTTCAGACTTTAGTTTGCTCCAAACATTCACAGTTAATTCAACATAAATGGGCTGAAAAACAAAATTAATTTACAAATCACTTAATGAGTGAATTTCACGGTACCTGCCTAAATCAAAAGAAAGAAATGCAAATTTATTTTTTTTGCTTTGCATAAGAAAAATTAAATCTATTTTACGGCCATTTTTGCAGTGATTTTTATTTGTTTTTTTAATGACAATTATGCACATAGTACGTTTCACAAGAAAATACTATTTCAGTCTTTCTACTTCAAATTTTCACATTTAATTCGATGTATTACTTGCTGTGTTTTGTAATTATTTGTGAAATTTACTAGCAATTTTGGAATGAAAATTGTTAGTAAATCCTACACAAATCAAATCCTTTTTCAGTGCAGTTTATTACATTTACACTTATTTTAGTAAATTTGAGATACTTTTATAGTTTTATTTTTGTATTTTTCATTTTCATTTTCATTTTAATAAAAGTTTTAGTAATTTTGTTGTTTGTTTTTGTCATTTTTATTAGTTATTTTTGTTTTTAATATATCTATATAGTTTTTATTCATTTTTATTTCAGTTTGTTATTTTACTATATCAAGTTAAAGTGAAAATGAGAAATGTTGCTTTGAGAACTAGCTGAAATAAAATAAGTTTGTTTATATGTTTATTTTCTTTCAACTTTTTTTATGGATTTAGTTGTAATTTTAGTTTTAGTTAATTATAATAACCCTGGTTGACACCAAGAAAAAAATATTAGGATTTTACTCTATTTCTCTGCCCTCAGGTTGTTGACACTCGGACTTGCCCTCCTGCATTCTGACGTAGTGACCAACGCCACCATCCGTAACGTCCTGCGGGAAAAGATTTACTCCACCGCCTTCGATTATTTCAGGTACTGCATAGATTGGAGTTTTTGATATGATAAATGCTTGGGGAGAAAATGGGAAAATGCTGCTATTGCACATACAGCTTTTACTGTAAATAATGAGAAATAAAAACAAACAGCTATGTTATGTTTATACACTGAAAACTGACCATAGACCATTGTAAAATTATCAGTCTCTTTGTTTGTGTATAGTCATATATCTGAATATACTGTACATGTGAAATGCCTTTACTTTTTTTTTTTTTCTTTTACTGTTTTTAAGTTGTAGCAGTGTGACTTCATTAATAGTATAATTGATATACAGTTATAGTTTGTTAACATTTTAAATTAGATTTTTTAAATATATTTTCTGTTTTCATTTTAAAGTTTTAGTAAGTTTACTTTTTATTTATTTTTTCATTAAGTGTTAGATTTTAGTTTTATTTTAGTACTTTAATTTGAAGAAATTCAAATGAGAAATTTTCCTTTGGTAACTAGCTGAAAGAAAATTAGTATATTTTATTTTATTTCAGTTGATGTTTGTTTTATTGCAAATAATTAAAATGCTTTTTATGGTTTTACTTCTAGTTAACAATAATTGGGTGTTTTTTTAGTTTTTAGTTTTTTTTAAGACTCCAGTCTTATCAATAGCCAAATTAATTATGGAATGATTATCATTGGGATATTATGTTAATTATTATGGAATTTATTTATTATGTAATAAATTTGCGAGAAGCATTAAGAATAATGAATAGATGAATGAGAAAGAATAAGTTAATTACTATTAAAAACTCAAAAGAAAAACAATCTGCTTGTATCACAGTAAGAAGAATTAGAAATTAAAGAATCATTAAATTTATGAATTAATTTTTATTAGGTTTTAGTTTTAGTTGATTTAGTTATATTAGGTTAATATAATTTCAATTTAAACTTGGCAGCTGGCTGAAATAAAATAGTTTTAAGTATATTTTATTTTATTTCAGTTAATGTTTTTTTTAATACCAGTAAAGAAAATGCAGTTATAGTAAAACTTTAATTTTAGTTAATGATAACTCTAGGGCTGTCAAACGATTAATCGCAATGAATCGCATTAAAAATAAAAGTTTGTTTACATATTATATGAGTGTGTACTGTGTATATTTATTATGTATATATAAATACACACACATGTATATATTTTAAAAATATTTATATATGTATATATATATATATAAAATTTATATTATGTATAAATATAAATATTTTATATATAAATATAATTTTTTTCTTAAATATATGCACGCATGTGTGTATTTATATATACATAATAAATACAAACTTTTATTTTGGATCATGATTAATCATTTGACAGCCCAAGATAACTGATTCGTAGTGGATTTTCATTTTTAGTTGAACTATATGGATTCGAAAACGGTAAAACTCAACTGTTTAACTCTAGGGGAGTTGGAAAATGAGCCTATTTTCAAAAATAGTGGAGTGTTCCTTTAAGTTGGCGGTCTGTCTAAGCTATTTTATATTTTTGGCTGCTTGTGTCCTTAGTAAATTAAATGAATCATCATTATTTTTATCTGTTTTTTTTTTTTTCCAGCGTCACTTCAAAGTTCCCCACTCAGGGAGACAAGCGTCTGCGCGAGGACATCAGCATCATGATCCGCTTCTATGCCAGCATCCTCTCCGATAAGAAGTACCTAGCTGCTAGTCAGCTCGTGCCACCTGGTGAGCTTGGCGCCAATCCCCCTCAAAGCTCCCTATCTGCTGGGATTTTCGGATCGCTTATCGTTTCCAGCACTTCTCCGATATCGATATTAAGTAAGCCTCTCTTGCTACGACTGTGCAACTACAGTGCAGCAGGAGCATGTTTATGTGGTTCAAATTTGCATGGCCACAAATTTGAAACCTGTACTAAAATTGCACGGCAATCATCCGAACGGCCGAATTTATCAATTTGTCGCCAAGCGCAAATTGACAAATGTGTCCGTCCCGTCTCTCCCCACCTGAACCGCCACCACCCTTCTCTATCCATTGTAGAAAACATGATCTCATCAGAACATTAGCGCTCTCATGTAAAATGCATGATCATTTCAATATCAGAGAACTAATTGAGACTTCATTCGTCCCTTAAAGCCTCTCCATCGTGTGATGTGCTACATCTCCAGACAGCACCACAAATCAGTTGCTTCGCTTGCTATTTACTCGTCGAATGTATAATTTGCAGGCTTGACTTCTTCGGATGCTGTGTGTTAATAATTCATTAAAGCTAATGGGAAAGGGAAAGGAGAAAAAGTGCTGGAATGATGGAACAAAACAGTAAAAGGAGAAAGTTGGAAATGGGGTAAAAGAAGAACATTAATTTGAATTAATTTGTGAATCTCACGGCACCGGTCAGGAACATGTCCCGGTCATATCGCACCTCTAAATCAGATTTTATATTAAATTTAATATTATTTGAAAGTGCACATTTTTTACACACAAAGAAATTAATAGTGTTTTTTTTTTTATTATTATTATTTTTATATTGAATATTTAAATAATAAGAAATAAATAATATCTATTTTTATATGAATATATTTTCCACTAATGAATTTTAGCGCAATTTTTTCATGTAAAAAAATTCATTCATTTTTCCACACATTTTCAAAAAAATTATTCAGTTCATTTCAGTTAATTACTTTGTGCAATAAACATGATACATAAATACAAAAATAGTACATAATATATATTTAATGAGATAAAAAAATATTTGAATGCATATATATATATTTTTTTTCTTCTTTTTTTTCTGACAATTGTGCACATTTTCTGACACATTGTTAAAATAATTAATTAAATTAATTTCAATTAATTACTTTATGTGCACATACCGGTAATATAAAATACACATAATGCACATAAATGGGCATAATTGTATATTATGTATTATTTTATATTAAGTGCATTTTTTATGCACATTAAGAAATTAATTGTAATTTTAAAGTCTAAAAAAAAGTCTATAATATTTAATATGGAATAATATTTTATGAAAATATTAGAAGCATTAATGAAAGAAAAACGAGAATTACTAAGAAACTCAAAAGTTACGTATTACAGTAATTAAAATTTTGGTTAAACGTGAAAACGTCATGAAAATGTCACAATGCAATAAAAATATTTGTTATAAATAAATTGGCTTTTTTTTTTTCTTTTGATTTTGGGGTAAATTAGGATCTACACACACTCTTCATGAGATTCACTCTAATAGTGTAGTTACTGTACCAGAGAGGAGAATAAAATTCTGCAAAATCCTTCGTTTAACAACGTTTCTTCTCACAGACAACCAGGATCCGTCCCTGAACAGTTTGTCGGTGATAAACGCCACCGACCCGAGGAACAACATGGACATGACCATGGGTTCCCGTCAGCAGAGCGCTCAGGGCTGGATTAACACCTACCCCCTGTCCAGCGGGATGTCCACCACCTCCAAGAAATCAGGTATCGCTCAAACACGCAACAGCTCTTTGACCCTGATTCGTTTTAATGGTTTAATCTGTTTAGCCAATGTGCATCTGCTAATGCAATGATCTCCCTGATTGTTAAGTTAAGGGTCAGCACTGCATTAGTTGAGCGATGAATGCTTTCTGAGCTACTGGAAATGAACTGGTGGCTGTTGTGTTACTAATTGCTTGTTTTCTAATAAATAAACCATTGTAGTCAGTATAAATATAGTTAGTATAAATATAGTTGTTTATTTATTTATTCAAATAGTTTGTAATATATATATATTTATGCATATATGTGCGTGTGTGTGTGCAATTCATATATATTATTATAAATATGTAAATATATTATAATAATATATAAATAAGGGTTGTATATGTTATAGGGTTTGAACTTTTTATTACATTTGTGATTACAGGGCCTTTAAAAAAATTATTAAATAAATTACACACAAATAGCAATTTCTGCTAAAAAAAAAAAAAATGTAATAAAAAAGAAAAACAAATTTTTTTTTTTTAATTGAAATTGAAATAAAAATGTATAAAAATTTATTGACATTTAAGAAAAAAATTAAAATAATACAACTGCCAAAAACAGTAATTTTTATTCAAATTAATTAAATAAAATTTTAAATGAAAATGGAAAAACATAAAAGTAAAAACTATTTCAAGATAATGAAATACTATAATAGGACCTCAATGATACTAAAATAACACTGTTGACAGTGTAGAACCATGCTTGTTAACCAGCTAGAGTAGTTAAAGTGTTACACCTAAGCACCTCTAGTGTCTCACAGGTGTCCGGCCACAGTCCAGCAAGTTTAATGTTTTAATGTCTTCTGTTTTCTCTCACATAGGCATGTCCAAAAAGAGCAACCGAGGCACCCAGTTGCACAAGTACTACATGAAGCGCAGGACGTTACTGTTGGCCTTACTGGTAGGGAGGCTTTTTCCCCAGCCTGGTTCCTGTTAAACAAATACACTCCTGTGTCTTGAACGTCTCTGTGCTTTCTTTACAGGCCAGTGAGATCGAGCGACTGACCACTTGGTACAACCCGCTATCAACGCAGGAGCTGGCCATCGCCACAGAGCAGTCGGTAGAGACCAGCATCTCTAACTGGAGATCCAAATACATCAACCTGAGTGAGAAACAGTGGAAGGACAACGTCAACTTGGCCTGGAGTATCGCTCCGTATCTGGCCATGCAGCTTCCAGCTAGGTACGCCAATAACGAGACTGAAGCTCGGTTCCAAAGTGTAGTTAACTGTCTACCTTATAGCAATTTTCAGTCATGTATCTTTTGTGCAGAATGCAGTTCCAGAATCTACTGTGTCGAGTTCAAAAAAATCTTTGAACTCGCTGACAATTTGAGTTGATTTGAATAAAAACTATTTTAGGACTTTTTTTCCAGTGACATTTTTTTGATGACAATAATGCACATTTTCCCCAAACAAAACTCTTACTCTAATGTGGAAAAATATTATATATTATTTTATTTTATTTTATTTTATTTTATTTTATATTGAGTTAAAGACATCAATAGCCAAATAAAATCTGGAATCACTTCAATATTATGTTACTGAAAATTAAATGAGAATCATCAATGAAAGAATAATAAGAATTACAAATAAATTCCAAAAAATATGCAACTTTGCTACCTTCTAAGGCATCTCATTTTGACCAATTTTAAGGCAACTTTAGCTAATTCTTTTTAGAACTCGTATGCAATCCCAGAATGCAATGCTTCGAATTCAGTGAAAAATGTCAGACAATTTGAGTTGAATAAGTGAAACCTATTTTAACCAATGTGGAAAAAATTTATTTATTTATTTATTGCGCTGACATTTTTACACATAATGAAATTCTTTTAAAATACATTTTAAAATCTTTTCCACTCTTAATGAGATAAAGACTTCAATTGTATCAATAAGCCAAATAAAATCTGGAATAATAATCAATGCAATATTATGCTATTAAAAATGTAATCCGATAATCCTATATTATTTGTGTGTTTACTAAAGCATGCTTGCTTATCTGAGTGGTGCACCAGTTGATCAGCAAAATGAGGTTTCAGTCCAGTTTTGAGGTTTTGGTAGAAAGCTCATGTTTTGATGACCTCTTTTCTTGTTTTGTAGGTTCAAAAATGCAGACGCCATCGTGGCTGAAGTGACCCGTCTGGTTCGACTGGATCCTGGCGCTGTCAGCGATGTGCCGGAGGCAGTCAAGGTTAGAGCCACCGTTCTGCCACAACAGTACATTATGTACCACTACGTGTTAAAAATCACTCTCAGTGTTGCTTGTGTTTTTTTCCCATAGTTCCTGGTGACGTGGCACACCATTGATGCTGATTCTCCAGAGCTGAGCCACATCCTGTGCTGGGCTCCTGCAGATCCTCCCACCGGCCTCTCGTACTTCTCCAGCATGTACCCTCCTCATCCGCTCACCGCTCAGTATGGAGTCAAAGTCCTGCGCTCCTTCCCTCCTGTACGTACCTGCAGTCTCTGTCTTTGCCTCCAGACCAGCTCTTTCTCACTCCAAGAGCCCCCAGACATTAATTGACTGCTGCACTGACAAAGCTGTTCGTTTTCAAACGTTTTTATTTACGTAAACTTTATATAAATATTTAAAATTACGTTTGTAGTGATAATAGTTAATAAAAATAATTTAATAAATTATTCAAATAATTAAATTCCATAATAAGTTTCAATAAGTAAATGTTCATTAGGGTTTACACTTTTTATTACCAGTGAATTTACTTGACTTTTCTAGTAATTTGTGATTACAGTTTCTTATTTATCTATAAATATTTTAGAGCTTGACATAAGTAGAAAAAAGTGATTCATTATAAAAAATTGATATTGATTCCCATGGCTTTTTCAGGTCTAGAAATCACAATTTTAAAATTGCAAGTTTTACCCAATAAAATATTTTAGAGATTGACATAACTAGAAAAAAAAGTAAGTCTTTGAAAGGTCCTTGTCTTTTTAATGTTAATTCCCATGGCTTCTCCATGTCTAAAAATCACACGATTCTAATTAATTCCCATATTTTTAATATTCATTCCTTTTCCAGGTCTAGAAATCACATTTTTCAAATAGCAATTTCTACCCAATAATATATTTTAAAGTTTTTGAAATTTCAAATAGCAATTTCTGCCCAATAACATATTTTAGAGCTTGATATAACTAGAAAAAAATATTCATCATAGGAAAATAAGGATTTATTTATATTTGTAATATAAATATAATTTATATATTTATAATTTAGGTTTTATAATATTATAAAACCTAAATTTATATAATATAGATCTATAATATAGGATTTATAAGAAAATAACATTTTCTTGACTCTTTAATATTTTTAAGAAATTTAAATCATTAATTCCCATGACTTTTCCAGGCCTAGAAATCACGTTTCAAATACCAATTTCTACCCAATAAAATATTTTAGAGCTTTAATTTGTAATATTTTTAATATTAATTTCCATGACTTTTCTAGGTGTAGAAATCACACTTTTCAAATAACAATTTCTACGCAATGAAATATATTAGAGCTTGATATAACTAGTAAAAATAATATTAATTGTAAACTTTTTCATTGACTTTTTAAAATTTTTAATATTAATCCCCATGACTTTTCCAGGTCTAGAAATCATGCTTTTAAAATTTCCTGTTTCATACTTCAGCAGATATTTGAATATCAGATATTTGACAGCATTTATGCATTTAGCTACAGTTTCCATTGACGTAATTAGACCTTGACACTTTTGATCGTGGAAAAAATGAGACGCTCATGTCGTTTCAAACCCGTATGACTTTCTTTCTTCTGTGGAACACAAAAGGAGATGTTTTGAAGGGTGTTTATGATGTAAACCCCATAAATGTGTCATAAAGTGTCCCTCATCTTGCTTTATTCCTCGTGTGAGGAACAGATTAAGGTTTGTCCATTATGTTTCTGTGATTTCTCACTTGCGTTTCTCTTACAGGACGCCATTTTGTTTTACATTCCTCAAATCGTTCAAGCGCTGCGGTTTGACAAGGTGAGGAAGAGTGAACTGTGACCTTTCCTGAACTCACATTTCTTAACACAACAGTGGTTTGATCTGACTCTCACAGCCCTGGGCTGCTGTTTACATCTATGCTGGTGTTTTTGACAGATGGGTTACGTGCGCGAGTACATCCTGTGGGCGGCACAGAAGTCCCAGCTCCTCGCTCATCAGTTCATATGGAACATGAAGACCAACATCTATCTGGATGAGGAGGGCCAACAGAAAGATCGTACGTAACCTGCTGCCGAGTTCAGTCAGAACGTGTCCAGTTACTCGCTGTAGTTCAATTAGTGGTTCGATTAGTCAAATTGCTCCCAGCTAACATACACTACTGTTCAAAGGTTTGGAGTCAGTACGATTTTTTTACTTATTATTAGAAATTATGACTTTTATACATCGTCCAGTTACTCGCTGTAGTTCAATTAGTGGTTCGATTAGTCAAATTGCTCCCAGCTAACATACACTACTGTTCAAAGGTTTGGAGTCAGTACGATTTTTTTTACTTATTATTAGAAATTATGACTTTTATACATCGGGGATGCATTAAATTGATCAAAAGTGACATTAAAGACATTTATAATGTTACGAAAGATTTCCATTTCAAATAAGTTCGGTTCTTTTGAACTTTCTATTCAAGAAATCTACAAAAAATGTATCATGGTTTCCACAAAAATTGTAGTTGCCCATTTTAAGGAATATTAAGATTTTTTACATTTTCACAACAAACACATTTTCGCCTAAAAGATGGAAAAAATATACAAAAATGTGAAGAAAAAAAAAAAGATATATATAATTTTGTACAAATAAATACTTTGTGTTATTTATATATTTATATATTTCAAAAACATTTTAAAAAATCTTACTGACCCCAAATGTTTGAATGGTAGTGTGCATAATCAAACATAATGTCTGAGATTATTGTGTGCAATGGAAACATGGACACCTGTGCTGATGCTCTTTAGAAATCAAAAGTGGGAGGTGGCTCTCTGCCGGTCAGTCATTTTTCATGTTCCAATGGAAAATGTTCATACTGTGGTGTATATATAACCTGGAAGAGAAAATATCATGTAAAACATTCATGGTTTAGAATGAAATTAGATGTCATTGCCTGATGTACAGGTTAATAGTAGCTGATAGTACATGTGTTGAGTGCTGGCTTTGTGTTGTGGTTCAGCGGACATCGGTGAGCTTCTGGAGCAGATGGTGGAGGAGATCACACACTCTCTCTCAGGCCCCGCTAAAGACTTCTACCAGCGCGAGTTTGACTTCTTCAACAAGATCACCAACGTCTCCGCCATTATCAAGTATGTCCAAAGCGATTTCCACCACATATGAGCTCTCTTTCAAACACTAGTGAACTGCCTCACTATTGACTGCAGTTACTTTCCTAGACAGCATCTTGATTGAAAGGGAACGATTAGAAACACCAGCATTCTTTCACTGATTTCATGGCAGTTTATACTAGGACTGTGCTATACCTGAAGGATGTATAGGATGATGCCTTAAAATTAGTTAGAGTTGATGAAAAGCTAATAATTAATTAAATCATAAAAATGTCAAATTAAACTCACTTTAAATTCTAAAAAAAAAACTATCAAAATTAAACGCTAACATTTTTTCAATTTAAATATCAATTTCTACCCCCAAAAATATTTTTATAACTAAAGCTTGACATAACTAGAAAAAAATACAATTTAAAAAGTGTCATTAACTTCTTAAAATATTTTTAAGATTAATTCCCATGACTTTTCCAGGTCTAGAAATCACACTTTTAAAATGTTTTTATTATTAATATTAGAAATTAATGTTTTTTTTTCCTGTAATGATGCATTAAATTGAGAAGTCACAGTAAAAACAATCAACATTAAACACTATACAAATATTTTTATTTATAAATATGATACTTAATATATAAATATACATTTTTATATTTTATATTAATATGTTTTATATGAATATAAATTTATTTTTTTTATTTACCTGCATATCTTGTGACCATTAACCGAGAGCTGTTGTATATTAGTGCGTCTACTGCTGTTCTTGTTATAAAAACGGCTTATTTGGGAAGATTTGCCAGATTTAATGTAAAAATTATTTAATGTAAAAGAGTGAATTTCATGAAACCTGTCAGGTCTGAGTCATATTTTGCCACAAAATTAAGAAAAAATTCATTAGAAATTACAAGAGCATTAAGCTGTTTTGCATTGTGTGCAAAATTATTTAATGTTAAAAGAGTAAATCTCCCGTGTCCTGGTCATATTTAGCCACAAAATTAAGAAAAATAAATCAGAAAGTACATGTTTGCAGGAAAATTAAGCTTGTAAGATGTTTTGCATTTATGTGGCAAAAATATTTCATGTAAAAGGATGAATCGCATGAAACCTGTCTAGTCATAAGTCATAATTTGAAAGTCATATAGAAGAAAGTCATATACACCTAGGATGGCTTAAGGGTGAGTAAATCATGGGGTAATTTTCATTTTTGGGAGAACTATCCCTTTAAATGAAAAAGTCAATGTATTATAGTATTTGTTTTATTTCTTATTGAAGTAATTGTACAGTAAATTGTTGGGAGATATTCTTCATGTTCTCTATGCAAAATATACATTGAATGCACTATAAGTAAAGAGAATATAAAAAAGCATGCTGTTCTTGTTTCCAGGCCTGTTCCTAAAGGAGATGAGAGGAAGAGAGCGTGTCTGAAGGCGCTGTCAGAAATCAAAGTTCAGCCAGGTCAGTAATCGGTCAATTT